TGGCTCAGTGGTAGAGCGCTTGCCTTGCATGCCTGAGGCCCTGGGTTCAATTCCTCAGCACCACATAAGCAAAAAGAAAAAAGCTGGAAGTGGCACTGTGGCTCAAGTGGTAGAGTGCTAGCCTTGAGCTGAAGAGCTCAGGGACAGCTCCCAGGCCCAGAGTTCAGGCCCCACGACCGGACCAAAAAAGAAAAAAGAAAATAAATACCTTAGTAAAATAAGTGCCCCCCCAATTAGTGTCTGCTTTTACATATTAACCATTTCAATTACATCAATATATAATAGAAAGAAATAATATTTCACACTTCCAAAAAGGTAATGAATGTTCTATAAAAAATGTAGTCTGGAAAATCTACAAATATTTTCAATATCCATTACTAATCAATATTCTACACTTTCCTTTTTATTTAAACATGGGGATAAAAGAGAATTGCTTTTCACTTCTCTACCAGCCTGTTTCCAGCCTAGATTGCAACAAACATACTTCATATAATATGCTTGTATATAATAGAGGGAGCAAATAAGCGTCTTTTTTTTCCTTTCTTCTTCTTTTTTGTGATGATCCTGGGGCTTGAACTCAGGGTCAAGGTGCTGTCCCTGAGCTTTTGTACTCAAGGCTGGCACTCTACCACTTGAGCCACAGCACCATTTCTGGTTGTTTTAGTGAATAAATGGATAAAAAAAAGTCTCACAGACTTTCTTGCCCAGGCTGGGTAAGAAACCACAATCCTCAGATCTCAGCCACTTGAGTAGCTAGGATTATAGTTGTGAGCCACCAGTGCCCAGATACCTCAGCTTTTTTGCTTAAGGCTAGCATCCTACAACTTGAGGCTCAGCTCCCCTTCTAGCTTTTTTGGTGGTTAATTGGAAGAGTTTCCTGGACTTTCCCGCCTGGGCTGGCTTCGAATTGTGATTCTCAGATCTCAGCCTCTTAAGTAGCTAAGATTACAAGCTCTTGCCACTGGTGCCCAGCTATGTCATGTTTTGGTTGAATGTTCTGGTACTGGACTTGAACTCATACTTTGTTTCGCTTTTTTGCTCAAGATTAGTGCTCTATCACTTGAGCCAGGCCTCTACTTCTGGCTTTTGGTCATTAATTTGGTGTAAGAGTCTTTGAGATTTGTCTGTACAGAAGCTTGATCCTTAGGTCCTCCTGAGTAACCCCTGATACCTGGTGTGTCTTGGTTTCGATGATTATCTAGCTTCTTCCTATGTGTCAAATATTACATTGATTAAATATATAAATAACCAACAGTATTAAGTTGAAACAATAATTGACATCCATGCCTTTCTTAGGGGCCACATAGACTGATTAAATGCATCCCATTCAACTTTTAAAAGAAGACAACACTAGAATAAGTCCATCTTTCACCCTTCCTATTATAGGTAAGAGAAAAATCTAAAGCTAATAAATGCAAATAGAATTTCCTACAGAAAAGTGACGCTATAATCATATTCTATGTTCTTGACCAAAACTTTAAAACAAATATATACATACATACTATTCAACAGCATAAACTATAAATCTAAAATAGTTTCTAAACAAAAACTATTAATAGTAACCTGAAAAATATTAGCAATGGGATAGATTTCAAGGATAACTAGACTCTTCTTTTCAAACCAGAATTAAAGTGACTAGAAATGACTAAAGAAGACAATAAATAATTGCAGAAATGACTAAGATGTTAAAATAATAAGTAGTAGGGGATTGGGGAACAAGTCTCACACTCAGCTTTTGCAAATGTACACTGACTGACTCTCTATGAGATCAGCTCTTAATGGGAAAACTGGGCTGAAGAGGAGGACTAGAAATATCCCCAATAGCCTTAAAGACTTTTCTAAAGGCAGCTGCCTACAGCTGTTAGCTACTCAGGAGGCTGAAATCTGAGGATCACATTTCAAAGCCAGCCCAAGCAGGAAAGCCCATGAAACTCTTATCTTTAATCAACTACCCAAAAGCCAGAGTGGAGCTGTGGCTTAAGTGCTAGAGTAGTATCCTTAAGCAAAACAACTCAGGATCAGCACCCAGGCTCTGAGTTCAAGCCCTAGCATAAAATAAAAGAGAATCTTCTAGGGAAAGTCAAAGTCAGGAATTTCTGGAAGGTTCTCTGGGCTTCTGGTACTATGTGAAAATCTGGAAGGCAAAGGAAGGCACT